GTTCACACTGGAGAAGAGACGGTTGAGGGGCGATGTGATTACGGTCTCTAAGATTCTGAAGGGAATAGATAATGTAGATCATGTTGAGCTGTTTTATCTTCTACTGAGAAGTCTAGAAGACATGAAAAACGCTATATCAAATGCAAGGATTATTATTATTACTGAACAGTAGAATTAGAGGGCACAATTGAAGGTGGGTAAATTGAGAACAAATCTCCGGAAACACTACTTCAGTGAGTGAGTAGTAAATTTATGGAACTGGCTCCCTAGGGAGTCAGTGAAAGCAGAAAACATTGTTTTCTTCATAGATAGATTTCTGCTAGAAAGTAATATTTTGAGATACAATATATAGTTTGGGACATGACCTGTCAAGCGACTGCCAGGATGGTGGAAGGTGAACTAGGTGGTGTTGATCTTCTTTCGCCTAACAATTTCTTATTTTCTAATATGTCATTGATGTATCAAATGCTGGTCAAGTCTCAAAAATGGTCCTGTCTGATCAGAGCCAATTATTTTTGTTGCATTTTCACTGTCATCTTGAATGGCAGCACTTCATTTTTTTAAAAAAGCAAGAATTCCCAATGATACTCAAGTCAAGATTTCTGAAATCATTTGCAGAGGCAAAAGGAAAAATATATACTAATGCAGGAGTTCTAATATGCATGATATATGGGTCTGTATCCAAGCTAGGCACCAAACCTTGTTTTGAATCTTGTCTGGAAGAGATTGGTAGTGTTTGTGTCTACCCAGGAAGAGCTTGTGATGTTTCATAGAGGATGGATGTCTGTGAAATGGTACATGCTTTCCTGAATTAATCATTAGAATCTAGATTTATTTTTGGAGTTTAGAGTTGGCACAGAACATTCCATCTGAAATTTATTGTGTTAATGATACGCAAATTTCTAATTGTTTCGGTTTCTAATGATTTCCAGACCACAGGTATTGCGGTAGTATTTTTGAGGCTGAAGACGACCCCTTTGGAATGACAGTGTTTGTAGAACTGAAATTTTGACTTGTTCTTTTGGTTCTATGAGTATTAAAGAACAAGGGGAGGAGAAACAAATTGCAATGACTATACATATAGAACCATGGTGTGATCATTTCTTATTTGACAAGAAAAATGCTTAACTTTATGTAGGATTACAGATATTGTGTTTAATGATACATATTGCGACTTCAATAAATGTCATTACTGGGAGGAATTTGTTCTTAAACAATTATATTTATTAACAGTACAACAATAGGGCAGAGTTCATAACCATTTTTATGTATAATCTGCATCTCAAAGTAGAGATTTGGCAGCCTCTTTTCATCTAGTAGGATTTATCACATTCCAATGTGATTTAGTTTATTGTTTTGTGTCATAAACATTGTGAACTGAGTAGTTAATCCTTCTCTCAGTACAACTGTTAACTTGCCATATTAATGTGTTTTACAGGAGTAAGTCCAGACTTGCAAACTGCATAGGAGACTTTGTTTCCACATAAGTTTATATTTTTATCAGGTTGAAACTGTTAACCTGTTCATTCCCTAACTACCTCCTGCAAGTAATACTGCTGAGGCTATGCCAGTACTTTAAATTCCATTTGGTGAATTTTGAAGATGGTAGAAAATGTTACACTCCAAAGTCCATCAATATTTCTGGCTGGGTGATATAACTGATGTAAGAAAATTAAATTACCCTTTATGCTTCTCATAACAACAGCAAAATTACATTTGTATAGCGCCTTTCATGTCGGGAGGATGTCCCAAGGCACTGGACAGACAGAGTTTCGGACCCAAGCTGGGAGTTGGGATCAGGGAGGGGGAGAGCAGGGGGGTAACAGGGAGATCGAAAACACGATCGAAGATGAGGGTGTTGAGATGGTAAGGGAGAGGCGAGCGGAGGGACTGCGGGATGGAGTTCAAGAGGCAGAGTGGCAGAAGGCCCACTAGCTAATAGTGGGACGAGCGAGGCGGGGGACATGAAGCAGGCCTTAGCCCACTGAGCGGAGGGAGTAAGCAGGATTCGTAGGGGTTTAGGAGGTTGCAGAGGTAGGGGGAGCAAGACCATGAAGGGCTTTGAAGGTGAGGACCAAGATCTTGAACTATTGTAATAAGCTTTCCTCTATTGAAAATAAGAGATTTGAAATAAATCATCCTGTATAAACAAAACACCAATGCACAGGTTCTCCATCCACAAGAGGCAGCATATGTTACAAGTCACAAAAGCAAGAATCATTTTTGTTTTAAAATCTGTCTCTTGTACATGCTCCAAAAATTATGCCTTGTTTTTGTTTAAGGTCTTTTGCCCGTCCTTTTTCCAGTGATTCATTCTTTCACCAATTAGTGGTTAGAGTCTAAATATAATTGTTTAACCACTTGCAAGCAAGAGCACCCGGGTTCAATTCCCAGGCAGGATGAAACCTTAGGCAAGATTCCTAACTCCACACGTCGCTGTATGCCTAGCAGTAAGTAGGAACCTGGCTATTAGTTGATTGACAGATCATTTTCTGGGGGTAATAATCCCTTCAATAAATAAATAAATTCGTCACTCAATCTACCACTCTTTATGGGACACAGCTGTGCGCAATTGGTTGCCATGTTTCGCCCACAAAATATACAGTCAATTCACATTACAGTGTATTCTGTGAAATGCTTTGAGTCGTCTCACTGACGTGATAAGGCATGATATCAAATGAAAAGATTATTATTATAATTCAGGCTAAGAGACTCAACAGATGTCTCCAAAATATGCTTCTATCAGATGTGTGACAGCTGCACAAGTTAATTTATTTTTATATCCTTCACTAGGAAGTGGCTTGCTTCTGTTTGACCCCTTTTCAACAATAGTGTAGCTGAAATCATTAACCATTATGTGATGGGTTGTAGGAATGAGTCTATGCCCTACCACTCCCTGACATATCCTGTTGGAGCTTCGCCATCTTGTCCCATAAAATACAATTTTTACTTTATGAAATGGATGGCTCTGCAATTTCCATCATGAAGAGATCCAACCTCAATTTGGTTGTTGAGAGAAGTCCAAACATTTCTTCATAGTAAAACAAATCTAGTGAGATAATTATACCAGGACACTCTTATGGTTCATGATAGTAGATAGCAGTTTTATGTCTGGCACCTAAAAGTTAGGGAATTTTTTTTTCTTTAGTATTGTAGTACAGTTCCAAGATAAATCTGCAATTTGCTTTATCATTAGTTATATTTCACAACCTAAAATGGAGAATGACACTTAAAAATGGAAATGCAGTACTGTACTGCAGTATATTTATGGTAGGAACAGAGGGGCACAGAGCACAAACCGATTCTAATATCGTACAGAAGCTGTGTTTTTTGTATGGAAACCTGTCTTCAACAATCACTGGGCCAAAGTGGCTTTTATAGAAGTGTGGCCTCTGAATAAGGGTTCGTTGGTGCGCCAGTTGTTCCAGGGTGGTTGTTAACAGGCGGGTGGTTGCTGAATGGAGGTGGCTACTTGAACAGGTTTGACTGTACATCAAGATGCACTGAGATGGTATCAAATTCAGGACTGTTTATCTTTGTTTTATAAATAGCTTGATTTAAGTAATAATTGAAAGACTCTCCAGACCAAACAGGAGGCAACATGTTCTGGTATTTCAAGTTGTACGTTTTGCTTGAAACAGGCAGTATACTTTACAAGAAGGTTTGTAATCCTGTGACTCATTGTTCTGTGTAACTCAATTGGAATGCACCTGAATGTTATTAAGAGATTCCGTTGGTGACCAAACCAAGATCAAGCATTTTATGGCTGGAGACGTTGGTTTCCGTTAATCCATGAAGTGTGTTCAATTGCTCCTTCTAGGTTCCTTCACATTGTATATAATGACAATGTATTTTGTAGGCAAACATAAGTAGGTTTTAATTTCAACAATCATGACATTTCAGCCCTGTTATTAACTCAGTGGGTGAACCACATCCCAGGTAGATCTTGTTTATAAATTCTTCTTGCTGTTAAACGTAGTGATTTTGATGATGATTGATTTCATGTGGTTTTCTAAGCAAAACATCAGCATAGTTGCCTCTTTTAGCGATAGGAGCAATTTCATTCCCTTTGTCAACAAATTGTACATATTTATTAAACAAACTTCCAATGCTTTCCAATATTGGAGAATATGTAAGAATATCCAGGCCAACAATCCCCGGATAAAATTGATCACTCACTTTGTGGGGCATCGCTGTGTGCAAATTGGCAGCCATGTTTGCCAATAAATAGTCAATACACTTCACAGTAAAATCCTGTTCGGCGCTTTGAGATGCCTCCACATTGTGACAAGGATTATTATTATAATTCACAGTATCTTAAGCTACAATAGACAGTCTTACTGTTGAGTGCAACAACAAGATAACTACTGAAAGCTGTTACAAGATATAACATTCAAATTTACAATAATTTCATCACATAAGTGAGCTGCGACTCCCTGTCCACCCATGTCCTATCAGCTTGTTTGACAGACATCAAGGCCTGGATGAGCGCAAATTTCCTGCAGCTGAATGACGGAAGATGGCATGTCCCTCATGCTTTCCACTCCACCATCGGTGGATATGCCTTTAGCCACTGCACTCTGGAGCTCTCTCCCTCAATCCATCTGCCTTGCTACCTCCCTCCCCACTTTCAAATCCCACCTGAAGATCTTTCTTTTTGATTGCGCTTATGGTTACCTCCCTCTCCCCCTGGCTCTGCCATTGTCAAGCACTCCAAAACCCTACCCTGCATGAACTTGTAAATGCAAGTTGTTGTTGAGGTACAGAATTTATTATTCATGTAAAAATATAAATACATATGAAGTCTACTGAATAGGCTGTGTTAAAATTGTATGTTTGATTAGCAACAATACAGATATTTCCACAGTAAGAGAGAAACCTTCTTTGTGGTTTATCAATAGGATTTTGGTAACTGAGCTGCAGTTAATAATTAAAATATTTTAAACTCTCTGCTATTCAAAATATTGCACTACTTATTAGCTCATATTATTTGGTCGCAGTGTAAATGGCTGGAACAGGATCTTCATCATCTGAAAGAGCAGAATCAGACAATGGCAAACAACACGAGACAGCTGACTGCTGAAAACAATCAGGAACGTGCCCTGAAGGTAAATCTCATTCACTCTCTGAGTCAAATTAGGATTGTAAACCATGGATGCCATCAATGTGCAACCGATATCTGTTGTGTACATTTCAGCACCAGTATGTTATGGTATTTGCCAACAATCCCTTCTTTAAACATAGATGCAGTTCTGTTCTGATGGGGTTTTATGTATATATGCATTTCTTTTTGTTGAACATAAAGAAGGAAGGTAGGCACACTAAAAGTATATACTCACTACAGTAACTATCTTCTTACCCACTCTATATTGATTCTCGCTCCTTTCTTACCCTTCCATTACTAATTCCAATTTTTTTGTCATTATTTGAAATTAAGCTCATATCTTGATTTCAGAGAATTGACAATACATACTGTATTTGAAGTAGCTTTGGCATTTTATGTTGTGCTACAGTGGGTAAAAGGCAATTGAGGAAGACAAGTTATATTATTTAAAGTATTTTTTGTACAATAAATCTAGTTTTACAACAGGGATCGTTTGACATGGTAATGTATATTGCTGAGTAAAAATGCATGCATTTATAGTGCAAGCACAAGAGCTAAAGACTGGAGTTATTTAAGATAAAAATATGCCTCTGTCGCTACAGTTCATATTTTGGATTGAATTTAAATAATATAAGCAAATTCATGAAGTGTCCATGATATTGACTAACTGAGGACCAAGTGATTTTTGAGAGGGAATTTTGGATGAATGTTGCTAATGGGACTTAACTGCATGTTCAGAATTAGCTACCAACTAAAGGTTGTCCTTGTTCAGCATTTGGTGGCATATTATGGACTGTCATTGCAGTTCTGCCTTGTGCCACATTTAATGGCAATGAATGTATACCTGTTTCAATTGTTCTGGTATTTCATGTGAAAAGAGTTTTGGGATGACGATGATAAAACCAAATGATCTTGGTCTCTGAGATACTGAATTATGTTGAATTAGCAGCACAAGATTCCTGTAGCTCAGTGGTTAGAGCGCTCTCCTCGCAAACGAGAGACTGGGGTTCGATTCCCAGCAGGGCAAAACTTTGGGCAAGTTTCCTTACTCCACACTCCTGATAATAATCCCTCAAGAAAAAAATACAATAATAAAAACTGATCACTGCAATCTACAACTGTTTGTGGGACACTGCTGTGCACAATCGGCTGCCATGTTTCGCCCATACCTATCCAGTCAATTCACTTTACAGTATATTCTGTGAAGCACTTTGAGACATGAAAAGCCCTATATCAAATGCAAGGATTATTATTATAGGATACACAAGGAAATTCAATCTAGGTTAAGGCAAAACTACTCGGAACTTAATCCAATAAATTGGATTACTATCCTGTAAGCACTCTCACCATTCACTCCCACCATCTCCTGTTTGTACTGTTTGTTCGCTTTAACAGTGTCAATTAGGATTGCGTTAGTTCTATTGCCTATTTCCTTGGGATGTCCTTCCGACGTGAAAGGAGATATGTAAATATGTTGCTGTTGTATTTCATATTCTTAGAATTTGAAGTCCAGTTCCCAGGGAAATATTTGCCTGAATTTGAACCAAACCCCATAAAAAAATATAGTGAACCATTAAATCCAGCCAGGGTTCTCTTGATATAAGGGCACTGCATTTTGAAGACCAGTGGGACCTTAAGGAAATGGTCTCACACTGGTTGAGTTTCAAATGATTGCAGGATATCTATATGACTTCTGTATGCTGTGTAACTCATACTGTATCCTGTAGCTCAATGGTTAGAACGCTCGCCTCGCAAGCGAGAGACCCGGGTTCGATTCCCTGCAGGGTGAAATGTTGGGCAAGTTTCCTTACTTCACAACGCCTCTGTTGCTTAGCAGTAAGTAGGAACCCGGTTGTTAGTTGATTGTCGGATCACTTTTCCGGCGGTAATAATTCCTTTTTAAAAAAATAAATAATTCCTTTTACAAAAATAGAATTATTGGTCACTTCAATCCATGACTGTTTGTGGGACACTGCTGTGCGCAATTGGCTGCCCCATTTCACAGAGAAAATATACAGTCAATTCACTTCACAGTAGATTCTGAAGCACTTTGAGTTGTCTCAATGACCTGATAAGGCGCTATATCAAATGCAAGGATTATTATTTTATTACTATCAAGAAAAACTTTGAAATCCATGTCATGCTTGAGGGATTCCTATTATCAATATCCACTTTAGAGTATGGAATGTCTAGCCACTCAGAAAGGAAACAGAAATCTTTGCAAAATTTACGAATATACACAACATGTAATCCTCACTAACACAGCTAGTGTTATTACACAGTGTTCTTTATTAATAGCTTATGAATGCATTTGTTAATGAGTGGCACAACATCTTGATTCTCCATCATAGGGTGGTGGGACGTGGTTGTGTAAATACTCATACAGAAAGTTCCTGATCTTGACTATGCTATCACAGAAAGGGCCAAACCCTTCCGGACGGTAAAAATCAAAGGGTGACTCATTGCAGGCTTTTTGCACACATCTGCTAGGTGCCGGAAGCCAAGAGCACGTCACCTCTCACACAGTCAATTTGAAGGGTTCTTGTGTTTGATGGCTTAGAGAAATATTAAGGAAGGGACAACACATTAATAAAAGCAAGGAGAAAAAGAAACTTGTAAATAATTAAAGCTCCCCTCCCCTCATTATCAGAGAGACAATCTGCTACTTCAAATCACAACTGATTCTGGGCTAAATGGGTGAAACAAATTACCATCTTTTCTTGAAGTGTCAGGATTAAATTAGGAAATAGAAGCAGTAAAGAGAGAGGAGACAAGACTTTGAGATACCATAGTTTGGGGTATTTGTGGTTGTCCCTGACAGCGGCTCCAGTTCCAAAGCACCTGTGTTTGCTCTCCAGCTTTTCTCAATCTGCTTGAAAGTGGCCTGAGAATGTCACATGCCTGCATGATAGCTTGGGTGCCACTGCTATACAAAACCCAGAGCTTTTAGAGCAGTTAATAATTAATGTTACTTTTCTTTGTGACTGACTGCAAGCTATGAGAGCACTTGAATTTGTGTTACTTTTTAGATTTCATGTAAGGTTTGATCATAGCTGTGTACCAGTTGGCACTGAGGTTCATAGTTTTTTTAACTTTGTGTTGGTTAGTCTCTGCTAATGCTTTTATTAGCTTGCTTATTGAAGTTTAACCCTTTTGATGAGAGGAGCGGTCTTTCTCACATTGATTTCAACAGTATCATGCTGCTGTATATCAGTGTTGTAACAACCGGAAAATCTGCACTGTAAATAAGATTGTGGAAGTGACAACAATAACCCAAGGTGAATATACTCTGTTTCCGCTGGTACTGTGGGGTTCTGTTCTACAACATAAGCAGTTCCAAATGCACATATATATATATCAAAATAAATGGAATGCGGTTTCAAAAAATCTCAAAATGGGAGAGCATTAATAACGACTTCGTACATTTCAGCTATTCCTTTATAGTTCTCAATAGGTTGAACAGTTTTTCTGATCACAGATAATTTAAACGGTGCATTTGCTAGTTTTGTTGTATGTGCATCCTTAGTTTGATGTTCTTAAAAACAAACACGAGCAAATGCACCTTCTGTTCTGGAAATCTAGCTGAAATCCTTAATATCGCTATAATGGTGATGAGGAATTAAAAATGAACTATTTTAAATGGATGTGCACATGAAAAGATTAATGCTCTTAAGCAATAAAAATGTACTTGTTTCCTTCTATTCACAGTTCAAAGACACGCGAAGTAACGGTGTCTTGTACTTTCAAATTTGAAAGTTGTCTGTTGCTTTAAGTGTCTGGACCTAAAGGACTTGCTGTAATATATGGCCATACAACAGCCATAAGAGCTTTTCGTTTTTCATTTTTTTGCGGGGGGCTGAGGCTATTTGGTGTGTTTCTACTTTTCTGAACAGTAATATGGGAAATGTTGATTATTACAAGTGTTGAGGTATAGTGCCCTATATTAAGGTAGGTTCAATTATTTATGAATGCAAAAGCAATACAAATTATTTTACAATTAAGAACAGTAAGCAGTCCGAGATGCTATCCCAGGTGACAGGCGCTATATAATGCCAATTGTTGTAATGTTCAGAAATCTAACAAGCTAAAAATGGTTCAAATAATTCATAAATCATTTAAATTGACTAAATTACCAAGTGTATTTCAGCATTCTTAACGTCTGTTAAATCTATCAGTCTTTTATTTAGATTGATTGATTACTCTGTGTATTTTGCTTTAGGGAAGGTTTGTATCGAACTCTTTTGTCCATTTTATTTCAGTTTACCTCCCTATTCTCTTAAGTGTTTAATCATTAACACAATGACGTCTCCTGTTACTCCAGTAACTTTGTGTTGCGAGCAGCAGTTGCCAGGTGATATATTTCTATTGCAAGTTCATATGGAGCAATACCTGGAACTTTATGACATACCAAAAAGATCTCTTATCATACTGTCACCTGTGTGGCATTTTACAAGTACTTTAGTGCTTGGTCCTTGTACAGTTTTCCTCTCCTTCTGTTGTATGAAAATGCGTTTAGTACAAAACCTCACATGAAGGCACATAATCACAGATCATGATAGAGTTCTGTTTGACGTTTCAAGTAAAAAAAATTCACCACTAAACTGCGCTCAAATAATTTTGGTAGCCTAAAAAACTAGTAGGCTCAACTAGTAGGCTCCTTCACTTAAAAGGGAACAAAATATAAAATTTCAATTATTTTCATTGCATTGTCAGATCAACCAGTAGTGATGATGTGAACGATTTGATCCCCATATGCAGGGGGAGGCATTTTATGATTTTAATTTTCTTAAAATTACAGCATCTGTTCAGTATGCATAGCTTTGCCAAGCTCTGCTTGATACTCAGTTCTAAACTGCCCTCATTTTACTGTCTGAGAATCCATTTTTAGGTATATTGGCTTTAAAGAATGTTTTATAATGTTTTATTAATTGGCCACTTATGGCCCACAGTTACTTAATCAGAACATCCAAAAGTGTTTACAACTTATGACTGTAATGGATTGCT